GCAGACGGCTTCTCAAAAATTGTAGACCAGTGAAATTATTGAAACAATTTATTTTGATAAGTTTGAAATGCATCATACAATCATTTCCACTTTTATGAATATAATATAAATAGAGGCACTGAGGCCCAGATTTTTAAAGATATTTAGGCATTGTTCTGCTCAGAGTTGCAAGGCCTAAGTGACTTTTAAGGTACTTCTATATAGCAGCTGGTATCTCTAACTGGGCGGTCTACCAGCCCAAGTAGACATACACATGCTAGCTCTGCTTGGGCTGGTAGACAGCCCAGTTAGACATACCAGCTGCTATATAGAAGTACCTTAAAAGTCACTTAGGCCTTGCAACTCTGAGCAGACCATACACATGCTAGTTCTGCTTGAGGTAGCACCTAAAATTAGTAGCATAGCCATAGGTGCCTGGGCAAGGGGTCAGGTTAGCCACCTCAATACAATCCCAACCACCCCTGGGTATATCCTTGGGCCAGCTAGCCCAAGCTACTGCTTGTGCTGTCTAAGTCACTTTTGAAAATGGGAATTATCCATCTATGTCACGTAGGACTTAAAATACTGAGCAGAGCAGTTCCTTTAAAAATCTGGGCCTGAACGATCACAACATTTCCCCAAATTGTAGAATAAATGTCGATGCTCATGTTTTCTCCACAGCTTTGGTACCAGAAATAGATTTTGCTTTGCAGATCCTAGAACAGTTGATTATTATATTCAAGATCATTATATTTAAATTAGAAACTGAATGTGTGACATGTCCAATATGAAAACATATGCTGAGTGGAATTTTTTTTAAATGGAAATGTCCTTCACATTTTACATAAATTAAACCAAAGATAAACCAACACATTGGGAAAAGTCTTCCAGTGTTTCCAGGAATATAAATTGTTCCTAGTTTAGGAAGTCTGGATAATTTTATTCTTAGCCAAAACCTTGAATAATCCAAATTAGTCAAGGATATTCCAGACATTCAAATATGTGTTGAGGTTGAAAATGATGGTTTGTAGATTTACCCTACTCGACAGTATCTTCAAGAGGTACTGGCAAGTCTCCTGAATTCTCCGCTTCACCTCCTCTATGCAGCTGCAAGGAGTCACTGTTCACAGAAATAAGACATTTTGGGGGGAAAGAATTTTATCCTAGCACATCTTTTTGAAAAACACTTTTATAGTTCCTCTCTCTCTGATAGGCAACCATCTCATTCTCCCCTCTCTACTAGTGTTACTGATTCTCACAATTGCATCACGAGTCTCCTGATTTGAGCCAGTCAAAAAAATTAATTAAAACATTTTTTCAAGAGAAAATGGCTTTTTGAAAAAAACAGACATTTTTGCACACACAAAAATATTCCATTTTCATAGAAAATTTTCAGGTTTTCATCAAAAGGATTGAAACTTGAAAAAACCTACTGAATTTTTAGCTTTAATTTTTGTATGAAAATCTGTACACTTCCATAGAAAATTTTTGATGAAAATGAATGTTTCATTTTCACTGACTTTTTTTGTAAGAAAACAAATCAATTCCTCGACTTCCTTCTATTTATGCTAGTTGTTGCCTTTTTTAACATTTCCCATGATATCATAATTGCTGGTATCCAGCTGGCAAATTTTCTTTTATTCAAAATGGCTGATATCTCCTATTACTTTCAATAGGGATGAAGCCAAACTGCCCTCAGTCAAGTTGGCTATCATTTCACTAGAGTTATCCTATTCCCAAGCAAACATTACAAAGACAAACTAACTGGTTATTACGAATGCACCCCCACTCCCTTCCCTCCCCCCCCCACCCCCCACACATTTTTGTTCTGGTAAAAGAGGAGAATTTCCAGATGATTAAGCCTATAAGACTCACCAGTTGTGCACATAAATGAGAAACATCTATGCCAAACTTTCAAAGGTACTCTATAGTTCTGAGTATCCAACTTTAATCCCTATGAAAATCAGGCTATAGGTGTCTACAAGTTGGGCATCCAAAGTTGGTGGCTACTTTGGGAAATTTTAGTCTAATATCTAGGTCTATTTTGATATCCAAATACTCACCCTGGGATGAGCCCTTTGGACGTACAATAGTACATTGGTGCATGCTTGATATAGGTAATAACCAAAAGAATTTGTTTGTTTATTTTGCATTTAGTTATTTCCCTTTGTTGAGAGTGGTGCAATGACCAGTTATGATTAAATACAGAGCTAGCAATAGTTTTTGTTTGTTTATTTGTTTTGTTTTTGTTTCTGGGGTGGTGATGGTTGTGTTTTGTGGCTTTCAGTTGCTATTTTAGACTAATGGACTTCAGATTCCATCAAAGATGATCATTTGAATAAACCAGGAATCTTGTTAATATTTCTTTATTTCCTGTCTAGCCATGAGAGTAAAAGAACTTTCATATACTTCAAGAAGAAAATGAGTTGGCCCTTAGGACACATGCCAGGCTGAAAATCCCAATACAGCTGCAACTGAACTCAGTACCAGAGGGCTCCGATTATACAGTTTAACAATCTTCATCTTTTTAACTTTTACCTCCATCTGCATTTCAAAAGTATGTTGATTTATAGCTTCATACTCCAATGTATGAAATTAATGTTTTTGCACTCTGAATGGCTTTTTATGTACTTTGCATTCTGTTTCTCTAAGCTGGTACCTTGTTAACAAAATATAATAAATATTTATTATTAAAATTAATAACTCAGGCAGACTGACTGCTTCTGTAGCAAAAGGACAAGGTCACTATCTTTACATTTTGTTTTTTAAAGGGAAAGACTCTGATTGTAACTTCAGTGATTACAAGATGAAACTTGGGGCCTCTTTCTCCTCTCACTTTCACTAATTTAATACCAGAGTAACTTCATTGACTGCAGGAGAGTTACTCCTGGTTTATAGTGGGGTAAGTAAGATTGGAATCTAACATTTTGTCCTTAATGTGCCCCTTTGTAACTTCTGATCAGAGACATCTCTGATGGGAAAAGTATGGAGCAGGTCCCTAGCTGCTGTAAATCATTGAAATCAGTGGAGCTAGACTGATTTATACCATGTGCTGTGGCTCCATGTGATGAAAAGTACCATGGATGCCATGATATGAAGGCGAAACTAGAAGTGTATTAAAGCTTCAGTTTCATTCTTAGCTTTCAGCTTCCTTCATTTAGTGAACCCTGTCCCATCACATTAATCAATTATTTTTTCTCTTTTAATTGCAGAACGTGTGGGCATGAGGCAGACAATATGGCATGGACAGAAGGAGCAGTAAGATGAGATAAAATGAGGGTGTATACATCATGCAAATTAACCCAATTGCTTTGTGTAATTGAGAAGATAACGGGATTTTCTCTCATTGTTAGTGAGACCTCCATTTTGGAAATTCTACAAACATATTGGACTGCTCTGAGGCTCCTCCATTTACTAACACAGCCCCTTTTAAACTTTCTAAAATTGTTGAAGAATAAAGAGTGGGATTGCAGCCCTCCAATCCACTCATGGAGCCCTTCTGCATGCAGGTCCCCATCCTCCTGTTCCAGGGCACCATTCCCCTCCTCCTCTGCACCAGTTGGAGGCCATTGTGCATGTCCAGGGTCAGTGCTGAGGGTGGAGGAGAGGTGAACAGGTGTGGATAGGCAAACGGGTGAACATTATCTCCCCTCAAAGGCCCCTGGAGAGTCCCAGGAAAAGTACAGAGGGTATATATCACAAGGCCATGGCAGCATCATTCTGTTGCAGCATAACTGTTCAAATACATGGTCAATCGATTGTTAAATAGTCCAGCAGATCAGTAGGTTGCTTATAACAATTCATAATGCATTCTACTGATATGCTTATAACCATTTATTATACATCCTACTCGTGTCTGTTACATACTTACAGGAGCTGTTAATCACTTATTAACCCTTTATAAACCACTGATAAATGAAGCCTTAATATAACTTGTGACTTCAAAGCTATATGGAGCACACATTCCATGTCATTCTTCAGATACTGCAGTGATGAATGCTGTAGAAATGTCTATATATAAATAAAATAAAATGTGTTTGTGTGTGTGTGAGAGAGAGAGAGAGAGAGAGAGAGAGACAGACAGACAGAACAGGGGGAGTGGGGAGCTGTACTTGGTCCATATGTGCTATAGATTCCAGGTAGGGTGACCAGATAGCAAATGTGGAAAATCGGGAAGGAGGTGGAGGGGTAATAGTTGCCTATATAAGACAAAGTCCTAAATATCAGGACTGTCCCTATAAAATCGAGACGTCTGGTCATCCTAATTTCAAATCCTAGCTCTAACAGGTTCTGCAGCACAGCGGTGGGCTGGAGCTGTGTGGTATGAGTGAATCCTACAGCCAGAAACCCTCTGCTCAGATCCTTAACTGGGAATATCACCTTCTCAAAGGCTGGCAGTAAGTGGCTATGTGAACATCCAGGCTTGCCCCTTCCCCAGAGATTGAGTCTATGACTCAGGCTCTCCACAGTCAGGACAACCTTTGAAGGGCAGCAGGTGGGTTTTCTGCTTAGTGTGTCTGTGACGTTGCACTCTATATGATTTTATGAAAATTCACTAATGTAACTGGGATATGCTTCATGCTAAAGGTCACTTGTAAGGTATCATTACAAAGCTTATAATCTACTGGGTGTGATCATCCTATTTGTATAAATGTACCACTCTTGTATCTGAAACTAGAAATATGAAATATAACTCTGAGGGCCTATTGTAATTATGCAAAGGGTGGGCCATTAATGGTGGTTTGGAATCTTGATGACTCCCATTAACCAGGACAATTGACTGCAGAATGCTCTGTTTTACCTGTAAGTCTTCCTGTATATGTGTGTGCTGGCAAGTGGGTAATGAAGTCTTACAGTGACATGTGATCATGTCACCTGAACTGGAATCCATCTTTAACCTGGTGTCTTTCCATTGAGAAGGAGGGGGTGGGAACCCAGAGAGGGACAAAGGATTCCCGCCTTATGCAAAAGATATATAAAGGGGTGGAACAGAACAAAGTGAGGAGCCATCATGAAGAATCCCCTAATTACCACCTGAGCTGGAACAAGGGCTGTACCAAGGGAAAGGATTGTGCCCAGACTAGGAAGGCACCAGCCTGTGAAAGAAACGCATTGAAACATCTCTGAGGGTGAGATCTTATCTGTATTCAATTTCTTACTGTATTAGACATAGACTTGCATGTTTTGTTTTATTTTGCTTTGTTCTGGCTGTTACTACTTGAAACCACTTAAATCCTACTTTCTGTATTTAATAAAATCACTTTTTACTTATTAATGAACTCAGAGTATGTGTTAATACCTGCGGGGGGGGGGGGGCAAACAGCTGTGCATACCTCTCTAACAGTGTTATAGAGGGCGAACACTTTATGAATTTACCCTGTATAAGCTTTATACAGGGTAAAACAGATTTATTTGGGTTTAGACCCCACTGGGAGTTGGGCATCTCAGTGTTAATTTATTTAATTAATGGAGATATCCCATCTCCTAGAACTGGAAAGGACCTTGAAAGGTCATCAAGTCCAGCCCCCTGCCTTCACTAGCAGGACCAAGTACTGATTTTGACCCAGATCCCCAAGTGGCCCCCTCAGGGATTGAACTCACAACCCTGGGTTTAGCAGGCCAATACTCAAACATCTGTAAGCTGCTTTCAGTGAAGCCTGCAGCTTTGGGGCAAGTAATTCAGCCCCTGGGTCTGTGTTGGAGCAGACGGGCATGTCTGGCTCAGCAAGACAGGGTGCTGGGGTCTCGAGTTGGCAGGGAAAGCAGGGGCAGAAGTAGTCTTGGCACATCAGGTGGCAGCTCCCAAGGGGGGATTTTGGGATCCAACCCGTCACAGTCTCCCTCTGCTTCCTTGATTTTTAACCTTTAACCTTTACTCCTGTCCTTGTGTCTTCATTTATTGTGCCCTGTATTCACTTGTGGTCTGGGTTCAATGGCTCCTCCACCTCAGTTGAGGGGTTGGGCCTTTAGCTTTGGGCAGGCTTAGGTCTGCTATCTCCCAGTAACCGCAAAAGGTCCACAGTCAGGGCAGTGGAGGTGAACTGTTTCTTCCCTGGAGAGTGACAGCTGGGAAGACTGAATCTGCAGTGTGGCCCAGGGCCAATGTCCCTGACTGACAGATTTAAAACAGATTTCAGAGTGGTAGCAGGGTTGTATGCAGTGTTGTAGCCATATTGGTTCCAAGATATTAGCGAGACAAGGTGGGTGAGGTAATACCTTTTACTGGACCAACGTCTGTTGGTGAGAGAAACAAGTTTTCGAGCTACACAGAGCTCTTAAGGGCTGGTAAGCTCAAAAGCTTGTCTCTCTCTCACCAACAGACGTTGGCCCTATAATAGATATTACATCACCCACTATGTCTCTCTAAGATTTGAAATAGAACTGTCAGCCATGGAGGGGCACTTTGAGAGTGAAAACTGAGGAAGGCAGATGAGCGGGAAGAGTCTCCCACTCCTGCCCCCCTTTGCAACCTCCTGAGACATTGCAGCTTGTTTTTAATACAATTCTGTTAGTCCTCCCCACAGCAGCTCTGCAAAGGTTGCTGCAGCCCTTTATGGCATTGAATGGGGACAAAAAGGCATCACAATCTACAGAGGATTGCTCAAAGGTTTAGGAAATTCATTATTATGTGTTCTCTTGCCCTCCCAGTGGCTCCTATTACTAGGATGTGGGCCTGGAACCCCTTTACCTCCCATTCACACTATTTGACTATCTAGGGCCTGCTTATACAACACAGAGAGGCTTTCATAAAAAATTGGAGCTGAGGATTTGACCGTCATTTAAGAACTATATTATGCAGGTTAAAAAAACATACATAGTGTGCGCTTTGTGTGAGTGTTTGTTGGGGGGTAGGGACTTTAATTAAAAACAGGTGTATTTTATAACAGTGGCTGTATAAGTATTACAAAACAGCAAGGATAACATTTTTTCTCTTCACTAATTTATCAGGCTTGTGGCATGCACTCTTCAGTTTCAATTTAACAGAGTGCAATCTTTAACCAAGGAAAGCTTCCCTCACACCAGTTCAGCTTATGAACTCCTTGAACTTTTAAAGAAAGAACAGCCTAATCTTCCATTTATTTTGTACCCTGCAATCCTTCCAAACACCACACTCTTACAATGTATCTCCTTCCCAGCTCCCGCGTTTCCAAACTGCATTCATTCTATTTCTCGCCTTTGTCTGATGCTTGTCTGATAGATGTTTTATAACATTTAACAGAGTTTTGGGAGCTATATATCACCAGGAGCACAATGATCCAGAAGCAGTGTTACAAGAATTAAGTTGTTATTCAGGCTATGTTGTATGGTGTATTGGTCGGGGTGAAACTTTGATAGTACCTGAAGAGATTAGAGGTTTTATAAGGGAGTTAGTTCACTTTTAACATGCCTTTTCAACAACTTCCAACAGCAAAATGAAAGAAATTACACAGCATATAGTTTCACTTTTATAAAGGCATTGGAATGAAGAAAACAGTCAGTCTGTAAAAACCGTCCCTTTTATTCACAATTATCTCATCTTCCTTCATGGCTAAACTTTTAACCGTTTTAAAAGTACTTTTCTATTGAGATTTCTTCACTTCTTTTTGTTATACATTGTGTGTAGTACTTGCGATATTAACTGATGCATTTGAAATATGGAATCCTGAAATCAGGTGAGTAAGTGGAATAGGTTTTAAATATTGATTTACATTCTATTTATAATTTCTAGAGGCCACATTTTAAGATGGCTTCTGGATATGTGCCCATAAAATTGCATATTCGTCCATTTGTATGTGCCAAAGCCCCATGCATGTGCACATGCATATACAAAGGAATACACCTACAAATATTATGGGTATATTTTTGAAAGCTGCCTGAAAATCCATCTCCTAGGCCCTGAACCAGCAAAGCACTAAGCCCAGTGCTTAACTTTAAGCATATGATCAGTCCCATGTCAGTAACATAGTATGCATGGATGGACACTTAGGCCCTGATCCATGCCCATGAGTAGTCCCACCGAAATCAAATTACGGTAAGCATGTGCTTAAATTCTTTTCTGGATCAGAGTCAAAGTGTCCATACAGGTACAGTTAGCTATTGACATGGCACTTATTTTTTTTTTAATATTTCATTTAAACAAAATCTTTGCAATTTACTTTTAATTATTCATGGTTCTGATTGATAAGAGAAAAAAGCTGCACAGGGAAAAATCTCTTGAGAAGAAATAAGGTCAGTGAGCACCTTAAGGGATATTATTAATTCCAGTACAGACTGTGCTATCAGGCTAGTAACAGTGCTCTGATTCCTAGTGCCAGGCTTTCCATACTGCAGGAAATGGTTGTGCTGTGGAGACACCAAGCTCAGCCCTTTTCTAAAAGAAGCATGTGACTTATAGTGCTCAACAGCAAGCCTTTGGGCCAATTAAGATTCAGCATCCATGGCTGCTTCAGGATTCCACCAGAGAAAGGTAATCCTCAGGCGGCACACAGCCACTACAAAGCTCCTACACCTCCCTCCCCCAACCACCAGTGCAAAAGGCATAGCCAGGCAAAGGAAGCTCAGCTGGGGCTTCCCTGTGACCTGGTGATTTCTGGCTTCTGGAATGCCTCCTTGAGCCTCAGCATAAATTAGAGCAGCCTTGAGTCTGCTCTAATTTACAGTCAGAGCAGGCCTGGTGGTCAAATGGCTCCAGAACTAGGGCAGTACATGTTGTACTTGTACCCATCCTGAGTTGTGTTCAGCTGAAGCTCAGGATCTGGGCTGGGAGGTTAGACACCAGAGGATAGTTGGCAAGGTCTCCAGCATCAGGCAATGGTTTCTTTAGGCCACATATGTTGGATTTTGCCTTTCAACACCTCACTGTAACTTTATACACACTGTCTGGGTTTATTTTAAATCCCTGTATTACGGAGTGTAGTTTATAATAAGCTGTCCTAAAACTAATTTCCAGGAAAGGATTCTTACTATGTATCACCCTGCACCACTTCCATTGCTGCAGCGTGTCTGTTAAGGTCATGATGCCAGAGCTCAAGCAACAAGAGTGTATTGCAAAGAAGCTGAATTCTTCTGTTATTTTGACTGCACTGGTGAGAAAGGCCAGATGTGCACGTGGCAAAGTCCTCTTACAATTTACTCTCCTACCTCCACCTTTTCAAACAGAGAGGAAACAAAGCATGCTTGACATGAGATTAAAACCTCACGCTGAACATGGCATCAAAACCCAGTGGTAATGGACACATTAGAAATATGAATAGGAGGGAGGTTTTCAAAGGCACAGTTGAGAGTAGGACACCTAACAGCCCTTTTGCCTTTGAAAATCATCCCTAGATAGACTTGGTGTTGCCAGCTTCCAGGATTTGCTTGCCAGTCTCTGGTGTTTTTCACAGAGCCCCAGATTCTAAAGTCTGATGATTTTTATGCCAGCAGGCCTTGACTCATGATTTGTTAATATATGGGGGTGCCAATACTGTAAACAAGATTAGATGGAACTAAAGATAACGGCATAATGACAAAAACAACACTGCAGACTATGCACGACAATTTTTACTTGTTCATCTTTAAATGTATCACTCACTGATTAGAGTCAATGGGCCTGATTTTCCTATCAC